TTGCTCTTTTTGAAAGATTTTTGAAGATAGTAATTGACATCGTTCATACATTGTCTGACAATCCATCAGCAGTCGATTTTGAGATAACATTGTGTATATTTTCAAATGTTATCGATATCATTACCGGTTGAATGTAACGTAAACAAAGATATTTGAATATCAAAGTAATCTTAGGTTTATATCAAGTAGATTATCTTTGTTCTGAACTTATACTGTTATGCTTTAGATTTCAAGACAATTAATTAATGATCACATAATCGTTTTATTATACTTAAATAGATGGTATTAATATTATCTTGGTGATGTTCCCTCACACGGCCATCCGGGCCTTTTTGGTCTTTCAATTCAAAGCTTTTTTCTCTGTAATGATTTCCAAAAATATGGCATTAAATGCAAATGCTAATTCATTTGCTCTTCTAGAGACTTTTGAAGATAGTAAGTGATATTTTAATAGATCATTGATAATTCATTGACGGTTGATTTTGAGATAATATTGTGTACATTCTACGATGTTATCGATTTCATTGTCCGTTAACAAAAAAATGTAATATAAACAAAGATATTTGAATATCAAAGTAATTTAGGTTCATATCAAGAAGATTTGTCTTTGTTCTGAACTTTTATGTTTGCTTTCTCAAGATTAATTAATGATCACGTAGAACTGTTTTTTTGGATGCTTATATAAATTACATTAACATTATCTTTCGGTGATGTTTTGCCACATTGATCGTCCAGGCCTTTTGTGCTTTCAAACAAAAAGGTTGATCGTCTAGGTATTTTGTGAAACAAAAGCTCCTTATTATTTTTTTTTTTGCTCGCAAACATGTTCTTGAATTAATTCCGAAAATTTAGCACGGAATGCAAATGCTACCCTTGAAAAATATGGTATAATAAAGTCATATTCATTTGTTCTTATTGAAAGGATTTTGAGGATATAGGGTGATATTTTTAATAAATCGATTGACCATCCATCAACTATCGATTTTTAGATAACATTGTGTACATTCTCAAATGTTATCGATTTCATGATCTGTTAACAAAAAAAAAAAAAAAAAGTAATTTAAACAAAGATATTTGAATATCAAACTAACATGAGGTTCATACATTAAATAGATTTTACGAATCTGCTTCAAATAGATGGCATTAATTTTTATGTGTATATTAATACTATCTTTTGGTGTTGTTCCTTCCGTCACATGGCTCGTCCAGCTTTTGTTCTTCCAAAGTAAAGTTATCTGCAAGCAAGTATGTTTTGGTCGCAAACATGATGTTACAATGTTGTTCAAAGATTTCCAAAAATTGAACATGGGATGAAAATGCAAAAATCTTCTGTAATAAAGTTTTCCGGTTCAAAAGCCGAATTAAAAATTTCTGATAGAAAGGGGAATTAAACAGATCTAGATCGGAGAGAAATCAAGAGCCGTGTACGGGAATGAAGCTGGAAGGAGGAATATATAGGAAGACAAATAGGTGAGTGGTAACCTATGAGTGAGGGCTGATTTCTAGATGAAATTGGAAGGCTCGGTTCACAAATAGACCTACACCATTCGATATTCTCATATACCATAATAACTTAATGACCGTTTATTTCATTCGAGAACGGATTTTGGTAATTTTTTGAAAGTTTTTTGGAGATTGAAATTGATATAGTTGATAGATGGTCTGACAATTTATCGGTATCCGATTTTTAAAAAAAACATTGTTAACATTGTTTACCTTCTAAATGGGTGAGGTAACCAAACATATTTGAATATCAAATGAATTGTAAGTTCATATCTAATAACTAGCAGGTTCATAAGTATTAAAACTCAAGGGGTTTGAGTACTAACCTTTTGTAGTTCAAATTCCTTTTTCCTCATGAACCAGTTTCGAACCACCATTAGTGTCTTCTCCACTATTCTCCGACTTTAGAAAAGAATTGTGAAATCCTGTGAGTGACTAAACTTAGGAGGGATTTAGTATATATGAAAAGAGAGTTTGTGAGAGTTTTTCTCAAGATTTTTCCAACGGAGAAGTTACATGTGCATTGATCACTCTATTTATTTCATGCAAATTTGAGATCACCAAATTTTGACACTCAAAATTCCACTCAAATTTGTGGGGTTTATTTGACAAGCATGCAAATTTGGTTAAACCAAATTTTGACACCTCCAAATTCCACTCACTCAAACATGAATTTTTCCATTAAGTGAAGTCAACATTTTCACTTTCTTCATTTTCATTCAACCATTGAATAATTAATTTCAAATTAAAGTAATATTAAATGATTAATTAAATTATTTGATTAATATTTAATATTAATTCAAATTTCAATCTCAATCAATTTCGACACATATTTGATTAAAATATTTAAATCTTATTTAAATATCTTCGATTCTATCTTTTTGTTTAATTTGAAAATAAAACAAAAATGCGGTTAAATATATCGTATATATGTAGCGCATATTCCCTAATTTGAATTCGAACACTTCAAACTCACTCGTCACACTATTTTATGGTTTAGTTCGATATGAGCAAGCAGAGGGACCTAATAGACTTATAGATCATGGGCTTCAACGATCCAAGATTAACCGGTTAAACTCATTAACCTTGTTAACCAACATTCGTTAACTACTAGGACACTCCACTATAACCTAGTAGTTACACTCCCCTCACTATAAATATATTTCTGTCCATTTGATATAACCTTAGTAAGTCGATCATTCACAGGTTGTTCGTAACTAAAGCGGGGTCAATTTACCGTTTTACCCTTAAAGTTACTTCTTGTTCCTTAAGTCCCACCGATCCTCTAATGAACAATTGATTTGTAGTCCAACCACCAAACCGAATACCTCTCAGGCCAATGAGAGGGTGGGGCCCCTTGTTCAAGACCTGGAGTCAGTACTTAAAGGAACAATCTCTCTACTATCCCTAAAAGTGAGTAGGAGTGAATTCTATCTTGCATCCTATGTCCCCAGCTACCCAGTCTTACCCTTGAAATGGGAGGTTTATTGAGCCGGCGAACTCAGGCCACTCTGACCCATGTAAATCTAAGGATAATTCTGAATAAACATGTGTTCATAGTTAGCTCAGGATTAAGGTCGAGTTATTTAGATCATGAAGTGAAAAAACCAGTCTCAACAGTAAATAACATTATAAAGTGAGAGTGATTTTCATCATGGTCCGATCTCATGCAATACTCATTGCATAAGACGCCCCTACTCACATGTTTCCACATGTACAATTTAGTGATCACATTGTTTATACCATAAACAAAAGTGAGCTGCATCCATAGTGTTCCCAGGATAAGGCTGTACTATAGATCATTTTGACTATATACTTGAACTTGATCCACTTTTATGTATCTACATATAGTTCAAGTAATCATACTATAGCTAGAGTATTCTTAGTTTATTGGATTTAGATTAATGATCGTAAAATTCACTTTATTAAATAACCATCTTTACTAAATAAACATCAATAATAACTTTATTAAAAATAGAATATGTTTTTGTTTACAAACTATGAGTTTTAGGACATAAAACTCAACCGTTATAATATTCTTCGACGATTTCCATTCATGCAAATGCTACCATTGAAAAATCTTCAATAATTAATTCAGATTCATTTGCTCTCTTTAAAAAGTTTTTGAAGATAGAAATTGATATCGTTGATAGATTGTCTAACAATCCATCAACGGCCAATTTTGAGATAACATTGTATACATCATCGAATGTTATCGATTTCATTGTCTGTTAACAAGAATGTAACGTAAACAAAGAAATTTGAATATCAAACTAATCTTAGATTCATATCAGCCAGATTTGTGTTTGTTCGAAACTTTTATGGTTATGCTTGATTTTAAGACAAACATTAATTAATTAATGATCACATAAGACCATTTTTTTATACTTAAATAGATTGAATTAATATTATGTATTATTAATGTTCTTCTGTCACACGGGCTCGTCCCGTCTTTTTGGGCCTTCAAATCAGAGCTATCTTACTTTACTTTTTGCTCACAAACATGTTCTTCAATGATTTCCGAAAACTTGTAATTGAATGCAAATGCTACCGTTGAAAATATTGTATAATAAAGTTATATTCCTTTTGCTCTCTTTGAAAGGCTTTTGAAGATATAAAGTGATATCTTTGATTGATAATCCATCAACCACTTATTTTTAGATAACTTGTAACGACACGGAAAAGAAAAAGAAAAAGAAAAAAAACTCAGTCACTGGAAAACTTGCCAGTTTTTCGGCGACCGCCGAGTTTCGCGGACCCCACGCGACGGTCACACCACGCCCAGCCTTCAGCCCACGACTCCCAGCACCTGTCAGAGTACCTGCAAAGGGAGAAAGGAAAGAAAATACGAGAGAGAGGTTTCGGATAAATGTTGGCGAGTTTTCAGTTTCTCCGACGAACCCTCAAACCACCCTCAAACCGACACCAAACGATTAGTTACCACCACGAGAAGGATCCCTAACGAAAGAAAAATAACTCAAGGTGCGTTTTGTGCTTTTCGTAAGCGCCATCGTCGGTAACCGAGGTTGGAAAATTGGGTTTTCCTAATCGTTCTTAGATATGTGGTTTTAGGAACTTTTAGGCCGCAAAACTCCCAGAAAAGAAAGAAGGACGACAAATAAAGAGGAAAAGGAAGAAAGAGGATCGAAATTGGCAACAAAAACGCCGCGGGAAGGAGAGAGAAAACTCGTCGGAAAATCGGCCGAAGTCGGGTAAGGAAGACGAGATCCACGGATCTGGGTCAACCCAAACCCAAAACCCGAGAGAGCCAGCCCATTATTTCCCTTGGCCTCTGCCTTCGGCCCAGCCCAACTACAGCGGCCCAAACCTCAAACCAACCCAGAAGATACGGTTCAGTTGAACCAACCCGAGACCAGACCCACGGTCCAATCGAGCCGGCCTGCAACCCAGTAGCCTTTCGCAACCCGCGATCTAGACCACGACCCGAACCAGACTACGACCCGTGCTTGGACCCGACGCTACCGCATGATGTGGCTTTCTCTGCTTCGGCACGTGTTACACAGCGGCACAGGCGGTCCCTCGGCTCGGATCGGCGCAAACGGCTCGAGCTCCCTCCAGTGATGCTCCGGCAGCTCCTCCGGCGGCTCCTAGCGGCTGTTCGGCTCGGCTCACCTGTTTCCAGCCCGGTTTCCACTATTTCGACCCTCCCGGATCTGTTTTCGGCCCCGATTAAGGTATTTGAGACCATTTTAGAGTCGTATTTCACATTTATTGAATTATAGGTAAATTAACTGTGAAATACTAACGGAAAGTGGTGAACGGTGTGATAGGAAACAAACCCCGGCAACGTAGGAAGCAGCTCTCACAGAACGGGAGCTTACGTTTAGCTATTTAGGGAGCACTCCGGCCAAGGCCAACCAAGTAAGTGGCCTTACTATAGGATATGCTAACAATTGTATGAGTTATGATGATGTATGAACTATGTCGTACGATGCGGTACATGAGTTATGATGATGTGTGGGTTACGATACTTGATGACGTGTGCAGTATATATATATATTGATGAATGACGTACTTGATATGTTTGATGCACTTTGTGGCAATATGATGAGTATGATGTTTGCATGACGTTTACCTTAATATGATGATTTTTTCCATATTGAGCATGCTATATGATGATGAGTGCCATATTGCATCATGTCGTTAGATCGACATAGGACACAATCCTAAGAGCGTGAAAATGATATTAATACAAATATCCACGAGTATGTGTTACCTAGAGTAACAAAGAGATGAGACTAGAGGGTTGTGTCAGAAGAGACATTATGATGGATTGTGAGGGACCTCATGCATATTGTATGTTCATAAGCATAGGCCTACTTCCCCTAGAGATGATGAGTGCAGACACGCACCTTATGATGAGCGCGAATGCGCACAGGTGCGAATGCACACAAATGAGGGTGTTTATGAGGCGCATGACACTATGGGGTTCCGCTGACCTCTAGACGTCGCTACAGATTAGCTTGACCAGAGGGTCCAGGGGGTGTGCGAGCGCCCTGGAGATTCACACTCGCATGTGTGAGTCGTGTGTAGGGAGTACTACACATCCAATATGTCCGAGACTGGAGGCCACCCCTAAGATGATTAGAGATAGGTCCCTAATTCATGATTGCATGTGTTTGCATTAGCATGACCCCTATAGTGGGGTCACTTACTGAGTATTTCTACTAAGGCCGTGTGCCATTTTGTTTTTCAGGTAAAGGCAAGGCTCCCATGTACGGTTGACGATGGCATCATGATCAGAGACTGTGGCGCATGCATAGGATAGTTGTATATTTAGGGTTTAGGGTTTAATTTGTAATTGTTTTTTTATCTTTATTGAACTCCAACATGATGTTTGAAACACGTAATTCCGACAGTGTTTTCTAATGTTTGAACGTATTTTGAAGTTTTAAATTTTTCCGCTAATAAAGATGAGCATTCTTAGATTTATATTCTGCATTAGAGATGAGCATGAGACATTAGTGGCGACTCTAGATATGTGAAAATTTAGGGTTGTTACATAACTTGTGTACATTCTCAAATGTTATCGATTTCATTAGTCGGAATATACTAAGTAATGATTATACCCAACTGTCTAAAATACTTAGTGGGAGGAAGAAGGTATATGAGATACATCATTTTCCTTTCACGCTCTCTGACAAATTCACACCGTGAGATTCATGCTCGGCCTCGTGTCGCCCTAGGAGCGTCCTCCATTTGGAAGGTATTTGCATGAGTCAATAACAAGGTGAATAGAGAAAGTATTTATAGTAAGTGGGAGAAGGAAGTATATCAACACATCCTATGGTTTCCACCACTAGATTGCACCATGAGATTCCCATGTTCCGCCTGCATGTTGCCCTAGAGCAACTACCCATTCGGAGGGTCATAACATGGGAGTCGAAACAACGCAAACTCCAGAAATGGATAGGATTTCTTAGGTCCGTTCCCAACTTTTGTTTTTTCATTTGATAGCATTCTTGGGACCGATCTCTGAGGTTTGAAAATGGCAGGTCACACTTATGAAGAATTACTAAGAGTTAGTATATTCTTGACCAAAATAGCTATAATTAAAACACGAACAAGAGTTATTCTAGGATTCTATTGTCGCCGTTTAAGTCACTCTTTATTGTGATAACAGTGGAGCAGTTGCAAATTCAAAAGAACCAAGAAGCCATAAGCGAGAAAAACATATTGAGCGCAAGTATCATCTCATAAGGGAGATTGTGCAATGAGGAGATGTGATCGTCACACAGATAGCTTTAGAGCACAACATTGTTGATCCATTTACAAATCCCCTCACGACTTAAGTGTTTGAAGGGCACCTAGTGATGTCTAGAACTACGAGTTATGTAATCTAAGGCAAGTGAGAGAAAATGCATGAGTATGTAATGCCCTAGTTTATCATATCTTTTTCTCTACAACGTTATAAAACCCCACTAGAGTTTTAGTCCAAGTGGGAGTTTGTTGGGTTTTATGTTCTAAAACTCATAGTTTGTAAAAAAAATTTATTCAGTAAAGATTGTTATTGAATAAAGTGAACTTTACGATCATTAATCTAAATCCAATAAACTAAGAACATTCTGGCTATAGTAGATTGCATTAATTTTAATGTATATTTAATATTATTTTTTGGTGTGGTTCCTTCCATCACACGACACATCTCGGCTTTTTGGACTTTCAAAGCAAAGCTATCTGCAAGCCGCAAATATGATATTATGATGTTTTTCGATGATTTCCAAAAATTGGACACTAAATCCAAATGGTACCATTGAAAAATCTTGTGTAATAAAGTTAGATTCATTGGTTTGTTTTGAAAGGTTTTTGAAGATAGAAATTAATATTATTGATAGATCTTCTAACAATACCAATTCAAATAATTTTCTTTTTCAAAACTAATTTTCTAAATGTAAAAGAAATGATTTTATAATACAAATACTTTTCTTTTAATTTAAAAATAATTGAGAATTTTTATAAATGTAATTGAAAACTCTACCATTTGTCGCTCTACCAAATTTATAAATGTCATATTTCGATTGGTCTATTATGTCAATTTTGCCGCTGGTCCATGATATCAATTTTGTCACCACATCATCAATTTTGTTACTATATCATCACGTCAGGTATTTTGTTTTGAATTTGATTGGTCCATGATGTCAATTTTGCCACAACATCATCACGTCGAGTATTTGTTTTGACTGGAACTTCTTCGTTTTATCTCTAATTTGAGTGAACAAAAAAAGACGTTGAAATCGTTATTCCCAACCTTACACTGTGGACAAAAATATTGAGAATTTTTAATAATTGAAGGTAGGTTTGTTATCATCAAAATATCAATTAATTAATTAAAATTAATTAATTTGAGATTAAGGCGAAAAAGCCAACCTAGCACTATTTCACTAACAATTTTAAAGGAGAAGGCAGGAGATCAAGTCGTGGGCAATTTGCCACCTCACCACCATTTTAAACTAGGGTTAATTGAATTTTTTTCTTCGACGATTATAAAATATGCTACAAAAGTCATTCTTACTAATGCATATCAAAAGACAAGCCCATATTTAAGATTACACTAATAGCTTGTAATATGCTCTTAATTTTTATTGTATAATTAATGACATAGCTACATGTCTACCTTAAATAACGATACTTAAAATAAAACATTTTCAAATAAAGTCATTATGAAATATAAAAATACCATCTATCAACTACTAAAATGAAAACCAATACATACTACTGCCCTATCTTGATTTCCATGGCTATTTCAGCATTCACCATCATCTCTATAGGGGCGCTTTACAAATTTGAAAAATATAAGGGTAGTATGTAGCTGGAGTATTTTAAGAAATACTCAGTAAGTTACTCTACTTGTTTGGTTAGTAATGCAAATACAGACATATAATGATGGGACTTATCTTTTAAAACCGTAACATGACATTTGACTCTTTCCAGTTTCAAGTAGGGTTAGATGTGTGGTACTTCTACACACACAGCAAACACACATGCACATAGATCCACTAGATGGGCTCGTATACATACCATATGAGCCTGATTTGGTTGGGCATAACGCGCTAATGTGTCACTAGATACCACAAAAAAGGAAAGACTCGCATGATATCGTGACGAACATAAATATCAAAGGTACGCGTCCGTACTAACATAACATAATAAGGAAGTATCCCAATGCACATGACACACATACATGCATGAGGTCCCCATGATTTACATTCATAACATAACATTAACATAATTTCCTTTCTACTTTCATCCATGACTAATTTACATTCATAACATAACATTAACATCATTTCCTTTCTACTTTCATCCATGACTAATTTACATTCTCATAACTTTAACATCATTTCCTTTCTACTTTCATCGACGACATAATACATATATGCATCATGTATACATGACAGTTATCACATAACCCATCACATATGATCTTTACATGGCAAGAAATAACATGACTTACATAGTATTTCATTTCATTCACAACATGGCGTAATGGATATCACATTATGCATATCATAGCATCATATGTCATAACATACCACACATATACATAACATAAATAATATGGTGCATGCAGGGGCCACGAGGCATGCACCATCATACATCATTCAATTATCTAACTCCAACAGTAACATCATTTATTTGGTTGGCATTGGCCGAAGTCCCAAACTATTTAATAGCTGCTTCGAAACTATGCTGCAACATTTAACATCACCTATTTCAATCTATATCACATTCTTAGGATATATCAATAACTTAGTCTAGCCAAACATAGTGATTACTTCACGATATAAATCCTAAAACTATCTAAAGTTGAGTAAACAAGAGTCTTACTAACCTCAATTTCCCTTAATAAGATAAAAAATGGCTTTAGGAGGTTCGAAAATTGTAGGGCATGGACGATGCAACTTGGGCTTACTCAATGGTATAGGTAAATTTTTTGCAAAATAAAACAAGGAGAATTTAAAAAATGATATACAATTTATTTATATTACACAAAGTAGAGTTCACCCTTGAGTAGTTAAACCACAAACTAATAGTAAAACAAAAAAATAAAACAAATACAAAATATTTAAAACAAAAGGGTTGAGGACAATGGGTGAGGCTAGTCTATGGCACCTAATCCAAAGTTTGTTCCTGTTCTCGACTAGCTTCTTATTTACCTGAAAAACATGGAAAACATGGAGTGAGTACAAAGACTTTGTATGTAGCCTACTTGTAGCTTAGTGTGCTAGGGTACCGCACTTCTTTTTGTCTTATTCTGGTTCTTGTTGTAAGTACTTAGACTCTTTGGTTTTATTCTTAACTGGTGAGTTTTATCATGATCTATCATGAGAACCTTGGTCTTTAGATTCTAAGGCCTGAGATCTAAGGGACTCAGTACTGTGGTTTTGGTTTTTGTCTTTAGAGCTCTGATCTTGATCCATGTTTTAGTCATTGATCGTTATCATGTTCTTAGTTACTATCTATGTTCTTGTTCTATTATTCCTTTGTTCTCCAAGACACTACCTCCGCTAGGCTTCTTAAGTTTCAATCAGTGTAGTCTTAAAACCTACCTTCAAGGCTTCTTACGTTCCAAGTGATGTAGTCTGATCTCACGTCTAGTGCTTCATGCGTTCCATGCGATACAACCTAGATACCTATGCTCAAAGCTTCATACGTTTAAAGCAGCATAGTTTGAATACCTACGCTTAAGACTTCATACATTCAAAGTAACATAGTCTGAAAACCTACCTTCAAAACTTCTTATGTTCCAAACGATGTAGTACGAGTCATGAACATGTGGTTTCATGGGATGTCTAGGAGTTTTTTGAGTTTTCTCAGTTTGAGGAGATTGATTCTTTATTCGTGAGTGATACCTAGCATTCTTCTTATCTTAATAGATGTAAAGCTTGTGAGTTATTATTCTTGGTTCTTATTCTATAATTCTCAGAGTTTTTAATTTATGGTAGCTCAAATCATAACATGCATTCTTAAGTTCCACATAACTTACAATAACATGCACGAGTCATTCGTAATGTATTCTTTAGATAATTCTAGAAAAGTCTTGGATCTTAGATAAGAGTTACTTGAGGTGTGTTTCCTAGATCCTAACTTGATTTAGTTTTAAACTTGCACTGATCTTAAAATCTTGAATATATGTTTATGTCGTTAGAAATGTGCCTCATAAAAAGTCATTTAGATGTTTAGACGTTGAAATACCTTAAAAGGTCCTAGAGGTAATTTAGTCATT